AACATAAATTTTCCATATTTGGTAACAAAGGAAGTTTTATCCCTATCCTCCAATTTCAAAGGAACGCACCAAAAAGCTGAATTTATATCTAAAACTGTGAAATATTCACAATTGGCCACTTTGTCTATAACATCTTGTATCGTAGGAAAGGGGAAACATTCTGGAACAACTAGTTTGTTTAGTTTTCTGAAATCAATGCATAACCGGGACCTTCTATTTTCATCTTTCTTGTACGCCAGAGTTACAGGCGAAGCAAATGGAGAATCTGACTCTTCAATGATTCCGGCTTGCAAGAGTGCTTTTATCTGAGTTCTAATTTCTTTGTCGTCCGGAATTGAACACTTATATGGACGAGAGGTGACGTATTCATCTCTTAACAGTTTGATCTCAGCTTCCTTCGATCGAACTTTCCCAATATCAAATTTATCCTGGGCAAACATATGTCTATATTTGTGAATAAGATGCAAAATCATTTGTTTGTGCCCATTGTCATCAATGTGGTCTAATTCAGCTTTAAAATCACCTACATTCAAATTTTCATTGAAATTAACATCAACATAATCATTAAAAACGTCATCATAATTGAAACTCTGATCATAACTTGATCGAGAAAAATATTTACAGTTTGATTGTTCAGCAGAAATTGTCTGAGCACTAGGGGCTCGGTCTTCCTGAAAATCAAGGGTTTGTTTGCTATTAGTGCGTTGGAAAATTTCCAAATTTTCATTTTGAATTAATTTAAATGTCTTAATAGCATCAATACCTAGTAACAGATCATATGAGAAATTATCGTTTTTCACAACATAAGTTGTTAAGTAGTCAGTAATGTGTCCAATGCGAAGTTTTATTATAGCCCGGGCTGAAGTAAAATTACATCCGTTGATAGTTTTTAATAAACTCTTATTTTCTATCAATCTCAACTTTAGCAAATCAGCAATTCGTTGGTTAATAAGCGTAACGTTTGAGCCAGAATCGTATATAGCTCTGACCTTTAAATCGTCGTTAAGAACAACGTTCAATTTTATCAACGGATTTAATTTTGCCCGGTCACTTAGTTTAAATTTTTATCAAGATCAATTTTTAGTATTTCCACGTCGGGAGAATTTTCTATCATATTTGTTTTTAGTTTTTCGTTAGTGGACTGCTTGGTACGGCATTCAGCTACCGAATGGTATCGATTTTTAAAACCAAGAGAAGCACAAAACGAACATGGTTTCCGTTGGGATTCATTTTTCGGCTGGGACTCAAGTCTTTTGTTCAACATAGCTGTATGCGTATCGTTCAACCTTGGTCTGGAAGGGTTCTCTGTTTTTTTTCTCTGGAATGTGCCTTCCAATTTTCGGAGTTCTGTATAGAGTTCATCGAGTGAGGTAATCAGTTCCCTATCAAGCTTCTCTTGAGCCTCACTAGGTAAACCAACTACTATTAGGTTAATGCGAGATATTTCGCTGCCGTTAGGTTCAACGTCAAGACATAGCTTTTCCTTTGCCAGCGCATAGTCAACTAAAGACCCGCCTAAAAATTTAAAATTAAAAGCCTTTTTAACGATGGACCAACCCTTATCAACAAAAACATTTAAAAAAGAATCCTTCCAACTTGTCCAAGAAGCAAATAGCCCTATTTTCCTTATAATAGTATCATACCAGTCTTTTGCTGGTCCAATTAAATAAAAATTTAAAGCCTGAATCTTAAGACTATCCGTGATTTTCTGGTTTCGGTTACACTCTTCTTCAAATCTATGCAACCACTCTGTGGGGTTGTTTTGTTTCCTATCGAATTTTTCTAATACAAATTTTTTTTCGATTTGTTGCAATTCTATGCCATGAGGAGTAGCGTTCAGTTTTAGCTGACGCTCTAAACGTTTAATTCGATCTTCTAATTCTAGTGGTGAAGGTTCAACAATCCGAGACCCCGTCGGAGCCAAAGGAACATATTCTTCTAAGGGTAATTCTTTGAAACACACATTATTCGAGTCATCAAAATATGTGTTGCGAATTTCGTCATCCATTTTAATAGCTATAGTTCTATAACAGTTTATGTCTTTAATTGCGGTTGTTGCATTAATTATAGGTTTCTTACTTGACAACACTGTGTGGAGTTTTAGGTCCTTGTGTTCATTTGGTAATAAATACCAAATTTTTTTATCCGTAGAAATATTCTGGATCGTAAAATCCTTGTCATCTTTCTTCACAACTTGAACGAAAATCTGGTTCATCTTCTTGTTTATTGGAATCTTGTAATTTAATTTCTAAGATTGTTTTATACGTGATTTTATTCTGAATAAAAGAATTAAATTACACGTTCTTTCTCAACCAAACAAGAGTTCTTGACACAAATAAAACATTAAAAAACAACATAAACACGGTCAACTTGACCAAATCAAAATGAAGTTATATCTATGATTATTTATACTAAGCTTAACAATTATCCCCAAGGTAGCAGTACTAACCAGAGGTTACATATATTTAACATCTTGTCCCATTGAACATTCATTAATAATAATTCATTCCGTCCTTTTTTTCATTCCCCTCTGTACAATTTTATTTAAGATTTTTGATGAATGGAAAGATAAGCTAATTAATCTATTCGCGCCTCTTTTTGTAGGTAGATATTGTTACTACCACGTTCTGTTTATAATCCTCTAGAACATTCCCCGTCTAGTAAATGTGACTAACTATTTTAGAATTTCCTCCTGTATCCCATCTACACCGGGCGCCTTATTATTCTTTATGTTTTTTAATGCTACATCGAACTCTTCTCTCATTATGGAATAACCTACCTCACATATCTCCACACTATCTTCCTTCTCTAATATATCTCCTCATGGCCTGCGTATAGGTGCTCTAAGTATTCCTTCCTCCTATCTGCCTTTTCCTCATTTTCTATCAAAATGACCCTTGCCTCGTTTCTTATATTATTACTACTGTACTCCAGATCTCTAAAATTATTTTATTACATTATAAGCCTCATCGGTTTTACCTACTTCAAACTATTCCTCTACATTTTTACACATCCTATCAATCCACTGTTCCTTAGCTGCCGTACACTTCCTAATTATTTCCCACTATATAGCCTTATATCTTTTCTGCAATTCTACGTTTGTCCGGTTTTTGCTTTACCGCCTTTCTTCTATTAATCCTACAATCTCATTTGTTGTCCAGGGGTTCCTACTTTCGTTTCGTTTAAATATGTCTGTGGCTGCTGAATTTAGGCACGTTTTAATGCAGTTTCTTTCTGTCTCTAGGTCCCTGTTATTGGTTTCTCCCGCCGCCGTTAGAATTTCGTCTGTCCTTGTATCTAGCCTATCACGCGTTTCGTTACATTTTAGCTTTTCTAGGTCATGACGTCTCCTACCTTCCCTCTTTTTCAGAATTTTTAATTAAGTCAATACGTCTTCTACCTTACCTCTCTTAGATCTTTCAATTTAAGATTGGTCTTCATAACTACTAAGTTATGATCGCTATCTATAGGTGCTCTTGGATAACTCCTAAATTTGATTTTACATATATATATATATAGTTTATACTGTGGTACTACGCTCGGCAGTAGATCTTTCAAACTTAAACACATCGTGAACACATATTCGCATGTTAGAAAAAATCCAGCACAGATTCATCAGAGCTATGACTTACAAAGGCAATAACCCAATGCCTCAATTTGATCACGATTACTCAAAATTATCCTTAGATATGAAGATTTTCTCGATTAGTTCTTTCATGAAAATGAACGATTTTCCGCTAATATTTAAAATTATCTCTGTAGCTCTAACAGTTCCATCTATACTCAATCGCTATGCATTTTATTAAACAATCAGAGTATTACATGGACTTTTAGAATGACACATAAAAAGACATGGTCTCAGCAGAAGCTCCTGTCTTTGCTCATTTGTAGATAAGCTCAATGACATTTCTTTCATTGAAATAGGAATTAAAATAAGAAAAGTTTTACAAATAAATTATAGAAATTTGCATATGTATAATTCTTTTTGCATACCCAGTAAGTTGTACATTTATTACTAAACTATTAATTTTGGCTATTTTGTCCATTACACGAAACTTATTTAAGCGACTGTCATACAGTACCTATATACTGCATAAGTGTAAAAATAAAAGTGTAAGAGAAATTTGTTCTCGTAGAACTGCTAAAATAAATAAATAGATTAATAGATTAATTAATGTAATTTTTCATTAAATGAAAAATTGTTCACTTCTAGTCACTTAACTTTTTAACTTAATTTTAGTGCCATCCAAAGAGAGAGAAAATTTTAATCCAATTTTACTAGAAATTGACAGTCAACCAGTGAATCATTCAAATTGATCATTTAAAATTCGTCAATAGGAAGCTGACATGTGTTTATCCATTTTAGGGTTTAAAAACTCGATCAAGTTGCTTTCTAATAAAAAGTTATGTATTCCACGCATATAATTAATCTCTGTTTCTAATTCTGACACAATTACTAACGCAAAATTATTAAAATTGGAACAATTTGTAGGTATTCGTTTATGTTCGGGTGGAGGGCCCGTGTCCGATTCTTGAACGATTGTATTTTTATACAAGCCTAATAGCAACATTATGCACAGTATTTAATGATTTAGGTTTCATTCTCTTCCTTTTACAATAAAAAAAACTGGACAAACTTCGCCTTTCACGTATTAATATAATTCTTTCATTTACAAAATTTTTAAAAAACTAACTACTAATTTCTTAAATATGCAGGTTGATATGACAAAATTAATCGCAGTTGAAGAGCGATACAGTGTAATTGCAGTACAGGTATTAATTCAGGCGGTAAGTGTTAACAATAAGTTGTAATTTATAATTTACACCCTTTATTCGGTTAGTAAAATCGATTTATTGAAAACAAAAAACAATAATTAAACAGAAACAAATTCGTTTGTTTCAGTTGAGTCATACACAAATTATACATAATTACCTACAGGTATTCATTGTTTACTTTCTTGCAGTAAAGTATAGTATGTAGGTAAAATGTCCAGTCAATGTTAGTATGTACGTCAAAACCTGGAAGGAGAAAGTTGAAGTTCATTCCACTGTCTCTTGCCTTGAGAACTGGTTGGTACGCTCAGCGTAATTCCGTGTCTGACATAAATAACAACGAAATATACATACAAGTGTTACGAACAATCTGAAATTGTTTAGTGGCATAATGTGAAAAAGTACAGTTTTAATAAAAGAGGTTGGTAAAGGTTTACTTAATTTACTTAGCTATTGCACATTTGTAAACATATTTCTTGTGATATTACATTAAAATACGTCTTTTTATAGCTCTAATGTTATCAATAAGCTTATTAGGTAATGAATAGGTACTACCTTTCTAAAGGTAGCACTTTTCCTTATCTTGCTGCAGTCTAGATACTAAAGATCTAGATTTAAAGTATAAACCAATAGTATGTGCGTTCATACAAAATATTAGTTTTGCTTTTATGTTCGAGACTAACACTATTTGAAAATCAGACAGAAATTACGCTTATTATTGTGTTTTGAAATTTAGCTTGAATAATTAATATCTTACTTCTAAAGGTTTGATAGTAAAAATGTGATCCATCCAATACTTGCTATTGATTCATATATGTATATTATTTCATTGGCAGTCATGTGTGAGATATCATTTATTATTTACTTTATTAATATAAAGAGGTAAAATTTATTTGTTTTGTTATATTCTACACATTTACCTACACAGGGTTCTTCAAAATAAGTACTAGACGTTCTATAAAAAGCAAGCATCATAGAGATTTGAAAATTTGGCAGTAGTATCGAGGATAATCTTTTTAACTAAAATAATTAGGTCATTTCCTGTTTTGCTGCAAATTGATACCAACTTCTTCATTTTAAACAATGGAATAGTATATTTTTACGACGAATTCGTATGAAACAAGATTTTAAGATAATTTTGATAACCAACTTGTATGCCCAAGATGAATAGATCCTGAGATAATTTAATTATTAATTTAAAAAGCATAACTTCTACAAAAAATGACTTAGTGTTGAAATTTTTACTACTTAGTCGTGTGTTAAGCCTAATGTCATGCCTAAATTAAGCTCCATAGTTTGCACAGGAGGTCCAGACAAGGAATGGAATGTTCAAAAACAAATACCAATAATTTTTTTTTCAAACGACATCCTTACGTATTTTATTTTGTTTATTTTGTCATTCGATTCCCTTTTCCATCCATCTGAATGTTTTCTATAGATTAATTAATAAATTTTTGAATAACTTTTTATTTTTATCTACAATAGACAATTTCACTAACTTTGTCATAGCAGAAGTGTGCCACAGATAATTGACAGCTACCGCAGTTACTACCATCTCTAATACTTCGTTAATTTACTTGTGTGTCACAAAAATGATTGTGGACGAAGCTTATAATGAATACTCCAATTCAGATTTGCGTTTATATGCAACAATGTTATATAAGGAACATGCATAAGATTTAGTGAACTGTATCCCCATTTAGCTCCCATGAAAAACTGAAAATTTGTGAAATTATCTATTAGAAATCCAAAATTATTCAATATTTTTCAAATAAATATCCGCATAGACTGATGAAAGGAAAAATCGATTGACGGTAGTGTGATAGTTACTATTTAAAGACAGGAAGTTATTCCCAGTTGAAGGTTTTAAACTATGATTTTCTTTTTCTAAAGCTGTATACAAGTAATGAAGCTCAATTGGCAAAAATTTCAACACGCTGTCATTTTTTGTGGAAGTTATGCGTTCTTATTGTTTGAGCTGTGGTAGCAGTTTGAGTTATACAAGTTGAGAGGAAACAAAGATAGAAAAGATGAAAATGAAAACTGCAGTAGAATTTTTGAAGTATGAAGTAGGGGAACATATAAGGGAGGGAGAATGAAAGAACAAATACGAGAAAACACAATTAATGAATAACAAGAAGAAGATAACGCAGGTGAAGGAAGAAAAGGATGAAAGAATATAAAAGTCAAGACATTTTCAGCTGTGATTTTAAACGTGTACCTACTTTTGATGCTATAACAGTTATCAATCAAACTGCTAATAATCAAATATTATTATATTTGAACGGTGAAAATACACGAAAAGGGCTTAGGTCGAAATAACTAGCAACATTCATAATTTATGACGACATAATATATATAATCAGGGGTGGATTAATGCCTGCAGTAGTCTGCACTTAGTTTCCGCCCTTATAGGAGACAGAAAAAAAAACTTCACTTAAGTTGCTGGTGCGGGAAGTGATCGTTTTCCGTACTATGACCTGTTAGAAATTAATTTCAAACCCATTAAATTCATTTGCGTTGTTATGTACAAAAGCAGAAATAAATAAGCAAGTTACTATATAGGTGCCTAACGATATTTTGGCCCATTCTTACTGGGTATCCATTGAAATAAAATAAAAAATCGGGCTCACACAAGCAGCATATTCAAACATCAAAAATTAACTAAAGATAGTCAAATAATAATATTTTGTGCTTATATTTACGTGATGACTATATTCAATTGATTTTATTGTAGAATATGGATAAGCTGTTTTTCATTATGGTGCTGCCGTTACTTTCAATGGGTGGATATATACCATCACGTCCACGTTATGGTTGTCCTGAAGATACTTTGCTTCTGCATCCCTGTGAATGTATTTCTGAAAGTGATGTAGGAATTTCGATAAAGTGTGAAAACACAAATCTGGCCCAAGCAGGCGTTGCATTAAATAATTTAGCTACATTACGAGTACCTATACAAATGATGTACATACGTAAATGTAGTATAAGTAAGTATGAATATTTTTCATTTTTTGTTAGAGGGAAATATTAGTTATGAATTGTAGATTCACTTACATCAAGATTACATCCATTACAATAATAACTTGGCTAAATAAAATTATTCGATTCATATACGATAAGCAAAATATAACCGATCATGCAGATATGTTACGATCAATAATCCCTTCCACAAGGCAGTAACAATGTACTGAGCATCACAATGCGCAGTTCGTTAGAACGTATGTATGTAATCCGCTACTTTACCGAAGCATGCTAGTGACACCTATTTACCTTTTAAGATTAACAGTATCAAAACGCTTAGAAATATTGAAATGTTGGAAATATTCTTGGGTTTGTACAACAGACTAGGATATTGCTTGGCACAGTGTATAATACTGAAATCTCATACTCGATTTGATTGTCGTCCTTCACATCGGCTTAATTGGAGTAGAAAAGTTCAAACTTCGTCTGTCGTACGTCCTCATCGTCGTCAACTCTGCCAATACTTCATGCATTTGAAATACATGCGATAGAATCTCCTTACGATTAGTTAGAGGTACATACAATGCATTAGTGAATTAATCTTTTTGAATCAATTTTACCTACTACAGATAATCTCAAATTAATGAGGACTAGTGCGTCTTCATAGTGTTATGGTGTTCAGTAAATAACAAAATTATTGCTCCTCCTTTTTTGTAACATAAGATACCTTACTATGTTACCGAAAGTAACCTTTTCAGGCATATATTATCCCAATCGCGTGCTCATTATTCTCCTTTCGGTTTCAGACAGAAGTTTTTGGTAGAGATCAAGTATCAACGAAATACAATTTTAGAAATAACGAACCCTATGTGACATCCCCCTCTCCAAAAAAGAGTCACGTCCTTGCAATTCATGTGAACTAAAACCTGAACTTAAAAGTAACTACAACTATTTACAACTTGGGTAACATTAGCACTTCTAAAGTCTTTGAGGCCGTATACTGTCCCAAATAAATCTCACTAGTCCTTTAATGTCTTTGTATGTACTATAAATTCTGATTTCCTGTCCGAAGCCGGAAAGGTTCCGAAAAGTGTTTTGACCGGATGTATATATTTGTTTTGAATATTAGTCATTAGTTATAATGCAGAATTAAACAAATGGTTTATGATAAAAGATATAAAATTATATTTTTTGTATTTCAATCTGCTGGTGCAAACACAATACATTCTGTTATACCTTATAATACACAAGAAATATATTAATTCATGGTGAACTTATGTGGTTAACAAAAAAATTAATAATTACAAGATGTATCAATTGTAATTCTTCCAAATATGGTCACTCAATCGTCGTCACAATCTTCATTATCTATGTGAACAAGCGACTTAATATTTTAGGTGGTCTTAGATTTTTACTTGAATACAGGGCATGAGACATATAATATTCTACAACAGCAGCATTCTAAGAACTCAACCCAACAGTCTGTCTGTCATTACTACGATACAATCACAACAATAACGGGTAATGCCTAGTAGGATATTATTTATTTTTAGTTTATAATCAATGAAATAAATGTACGTTTTCGAATTAATGAGTAAACTTTACTGCATTGTTGTCTCGTCTTCTTGTGATATTATGCCACAAACCGCAGCATCTGAATTTCATTAAAATTAACTAGGCTAGTAAGCCCTGAAGAAGGCTCGGTGAAACGTTTGTTGTGGCTTTTTAATCATAAATAAACCTTACATCATTCATTGGCTAGCTTTTTTCTAAGTAACTTTTTAGGGACGATATGGCATTTAAATTATTATTCACAGCAAGTTAAAAAAACTAAAATAGAGACAAAATTGAAATTGAGAGAAAAGTGAGTTTTTATGACATCCTTGTATTCATTTAAGCAGATCAAGTAAGAATGAAAGTATCGATCATGTTTCAGAAATCAGCCAAGGTTTTTTGATAAAATACAGATAAAACTTCCTAGAACTATGGCTATGGATAAATATTGTTCTTGGAAGCTTCAATAAACATCACAATGGTTCCATTTGATGCTCGTAAGCATGTTTTCATTCAAATGTGTATTCTTCATGGAAATCAACGTTGTAAAGGTGAATGAAGATTCGGGTTATAGGGCCGTGGTTTAAGTAAACTATTCTGTCCAAAGGTTTCGTTGGCTACTGCGGCTGACATCTTCAGTGGTAGTGTTGCGTTGACAACGTGAACGTAGATTATATCTCGAAGTCTCAGTCGCTGTCGAGAGTTAAGATGTCAGCCGCAGTAGCCGACGAAACGTCTGGACAGAATAGTTCACTTAGACCACGGCTCTATAGCCCGAATCTTCATCCTACTATGGATTCCGGCCGTGAAAGCCTTTGTTCTTATATTGTTGTAAAGGTGATCTCATTTAAAACATTTCTTTGAAGAAGACATCAATAACTTTCGCATTTATTTTAATAAAAATATATTTAATGTTCATGACTTGAAATAGTTAATCCTTCGAGCAACTGCTTGTTAGTACTGAGTCGTTAATTATTGATAAAGTGACTGATCAGTCATTTTGAGAAGAACAGATACTCATAAAAGCATGATGTTGCGTCAAACACACTGGTTTCTCATTGTGTTCGTTGCAGGGTGGTGATATAGAATTGCTATTGATGAATTTGTGTTTATTATTATATTGCATCACTAACATATTCATTTGTATAGGTACGATTAAATAACTGTATGATACGAGACGTTTTTGTTAATAGAAAATGATTTAAATAGTTTGAGGTCTATGTGAGTACGGTTTTTAACAAGTGTGAAAACTGATTTTTTTGGTTAAGATAAAGATGAAGTGTGAAAGAAGTACTTTAAAAAAAAGGTAGAACATAGGTGTCAATTGCCTTTGAAGAAGCCTCCATACTTTTAGGCGAAACGTTGGTGTGGCATCTTTAAATAAAACTTTCACCCCATTGTCTCTGATTGTTTATTATAAATAAAAGAATTATAATAGTTTTGTCGCCGGCCCTGGCGAAATCTAAATAGTTCGAGCGTACAGATAATATAAGTAATAGGTATCGATTGTAAAAAAATTCAAAAGACAGTAGTCGTTCTCCGATTAGTGTTAGCTATTAGTTATTATTTAGTTTATTTAAAGTGGTGTCAAGGTGTTATTTTTGTTTTGCTAAAAGTGAAGAGGATGTTATAAAACATACGTATCGAAATAAAGTTTGTGCACCGAAATGTAAAAAAGTCATTGTTTATTAATGAATTTGCTTTGAAATTACTCTTTTATAAAGCGGATTGGAAATTAACAATTTCATTCATTTAAATGTATTAAAATTCGTTAGAGTATCTTATATTCCACTTTCAATTATATTTATTTATTTAATTAGGATGTATAAATTTGATGTTTCAATTTCGGTGGTTACGATAAACCTTTAATACAGAACCTTGTTTAACTTACTCATTAATGTAATATTCTTATTTATTTAAGGAATTGTATAACTTCTAAAATTAGTGGAAATTGTTGAACGTAGAACATTTATCTTCATGGAATTAACATATAGGGTCTTATACTATGGTGTAGCCGAAGAAAAGGCACTCGCGACATGTCGGCTTTATCAGATGGGTGGCCTGATCGACTTAACAGAGCACGTAGTATAGTGTGGACATCGATGTGACTTCTTCAGGATGGATAACCCCCCACACAATACACGTTAAGTACGAGAATATTTGAATAGAATATTTGCTTGACCGTTCACCTATTCTAACCACAATGAACTTTTATTTGTGGGGCTATGTAAAGGAAATAATATACACGTCGCCTATTGCCACGGTGAATGAATATCTGTATCTGGTACAAAATTCGACAAAACACGGTTCGCCGCTGTCATTTTTGCAAAGATGAACAATACTTTTTATGAATGGCACACTTATTTTTCACTTTGCGTTCTTTATAACATATTACAAAAAGATATACAGGGGCAAAAGATTAGTATGTTTAGATTTACAGATGATTTAGAAGTATTCCTATCAAAGAGGAGTTAGAGATAGCATTAAATAAAATGGAAGCGGTAATGACAAACAATAATACTGGTATGCAAGGGAAGGAAAAGTAGGGAATGACCGAATATAAAGATAAGAGACGAAAAATTAGAACAAGTAACCGATTTTAGATATCTAAGAAGTCAGATAAGTCAGGACGGAAGGAGTAGTAGGGATATAGAGCAGAGGATAGCGCAGGGTCGTGTCGCCTTTAATAAAAAAAAATCACCTCTATGCTCGCGAACGGTTAATTCAGAAATTCGAAAAAGGTTATTAAAGGTGTATGTTTAGAGCACGGCGTTGTACGGGTTCGAAACATATACAGTGGGCGCGGCGGAAAGGAAAAGGTTAGAAGCCTTTGAAATGTGGTGTTATAGGCGAATGATGAGGATAACGTGGATAGAAAAGGTTAGAAATGAAGAGGTATTAAAAAGAATAGGAGAACAGAGAAATATATGGAAGTCAATAAGAAATATGCGAGATAGGTTGGTAGGACATCTTCTTAGGCATGAAGGTCTAGTCAGAGACATATTAGAGGCAGAAACGGAAGTTAGGAGGGGTAGAGATGGACCTGGATTAGATTACTGTTTGCAAACAGTTAAGGATACGGGTTGTTCTAGTTTTAGGGAAATGCGAAGATTATTAGCGCAGGATAGGAAAGAGTGGAGGTGCGTGTCCAACCAGTCTTGGAACTGACGACCTTATGATGCTGATGATGTTTTTTATAATGTGGAAGTAAATTGGTTCTGTTCCCTGGTAAGTAAATAAATAACTGATGGATTATATGAGACTCTGCCTTGGCATTTAATTGAAATGAAACTACTTTTTCACAGAAATAAAGTTTACTTCTCTTCTTAGCAACTGTACAACTACGTCCTATAAACGTAAAACGAGTACTGGCTTTATTAACACAAGCAAACCAGTGTCGTACAACAAAAGTACAAAGAAAAATAGAAACTATAATAAACAGAAATTCATCAATAGTATTCATAATAAGAAT